CATTCAGTGTGCACAGATTAATGAAGCATTTCATTATACTATAATTATTATAAGTAGTAATAAACAAATGTTTATTTAATGATAAATGGCCCGCACTTGTATAGCGCCTCTCAGAGTAAGGACTCCAAAGCACTTTACACTACAGTGTATCATTCATCCATTCACACACACATTCACACACTGGTGGGGATGAGATACGATGTAGCCACAGCTGCCCTGGGGCGCACTGACAGAGGCGAGGCTGCCGAGCACAGGCGCCACCAGCCCCTCCGACCACCACCAGCAGGCAAGTTGGGTTAAGTGTCTTGCCCAAGGACATAACAGCAGAATTCTCTGTCAGGAGCCGGGATCGAACCTGCAACCTTCCGATTACTGAACAACCCACTCAACCTTTTGAGCTACTGCTGCCCCAATGATTATCTAGTCATGGAAGAGGTTCATGTTGATTTAAGAAATCATTCTTGATTTTAGCAACTGATTCGGGCTGGAGTTCTTCCTTCTGTGGAGGCAGACAGATGGGACCTTGGGAAAGAAAGTTATTGTTTATCTTTCAGACTTGCAGAGTCTGTGAGCTGGTATGAAGGCAGGCTCATTTAAAGGGAACCCATGCAGTGTTGTGTCTCCTTTCTGACCAGATGTTGAATAGATGTTGAATAGATGTTGAAAGGTCAGACTGTACCTAAACTGACCGTTGCTGGACGTTACATAAAATACTATAAGCAGTTATTGAAAATGTTAGTCAGATCTTCTCCAAACTGACAGATTACATCATTCGCAAATGATTACGATGAATGTTAGATGGAGTAGAAAGGCGAGTTATTCATTATCAAGACTGTAAAACAGCGCCCACACAGCTCAGATGTGAATTTTAAAATAGTGAAAATACTTTTTTTCTAAAATAAATCTTGTCTTTGGGCCTTTATGGTGAAGATCTTTTTACTTACTTTGAGATTTGTGTTTGCGACACCCCCCTAACCCCACCTCCAAATGAAAAAACCAGTATGATCAGACATTTACACTACAGGCAGGGTGTGACTTTGATGTGAGGAGCCCTAACAGTTCAGACAGAGCAGGGCTTGAACATGTGGAACACGCTGAACACAAACCAACTCCCAAAACAAAAGAAAAATGCACGAGGTGCTCCGTCTGGCCTTTTCCAGAGGGATTGTGTCTGGCAAAAGGCTTGCTGTATCCTGGATATTTTTTCCAATGATGATGAAACATAGCTCCAGCCGGTATGCACACCCCCTGGAAAAGAAATCAGGTCATGTGCAGCGAAGGTAGGCTGCACAAAGTATGACTGACAGAGGCCCCTGGGCCCAATATGAGGAAGGTGTGTGCATCTTCAAAACAAAGAACAAAAGCGGGGTGGAAGGGGGAGTTTTAGGGCAATCAGATGTAGAGGCCTCGTGGACCCATGTGAAATCAACAAATAATCCAAGCAGGAGGCGGTGGCACAGCTGGGGAAGCAGCACAGAGATGACATGGACAAATAGAGACATTATTTCCCCCAAACTCCGAGTCACATTCAGGCACCTGCAGGGAGACAAAGACAAACCAGAGCTGCTGTTTTTCCGTATCATACACAGACTCCAACGTCAGCACCTGTTGAATCCTGAGTCTATTTTTAATGAGACGAGATGAGTTTGGAACATTTATCCTGTTTCATGTTTTCAAAAACAAACTTGGGTTTTATGAGCCTGGGAGCATTTTAATTTAAAAACTCAGAAAGGTTCAACTTTTTTTTTTCATTAACATACACTCGCTGGTCAGATGTGAAACAATTGTGTGTCCTGATTAAGCCTTATTCACCTGGATTCATTTTAAAGCAGGGAAAACACAACAATTCTTTACTTTAACCTCCTCAGATCCTGAGTTGTTCTGTCCAGTTTACACCATTTTTAACTTTTGATTTGAACCAACCCGATAAAAAATAATGAAGGTTTAAGCAGCTTTTAAATGTTTTCATGGAATAATTGTATTGATTTCCACATCAGAATAACACTAAAAATCCTAAAATCTATTTACGTCATGTTGCTTCATTTTTCCACCAACATCTCATGTAAACATGCTTTTTGCATTTTTTTCTCTATCATTTTAAAACGTCATTTTAATGCACTTAAAAATTGTGTCTATTTTTCCATAAATACTTCAGAGATATTTACAGAAGAGTGAGGAACTGAAAAATGTCCTGGTGCTCCTGGTGGCCCGGTCGCCGCTGGCGGTATGTTGCCACCGTTTGTTTATTTTCTTTTTGACAGAGATGCTTTTTTCTCCATGGCCCATGATGTTTTGCTGGGTTACGTTATGAAATGCGTGGAACTCACGTGGGTGAAGGTGAGACTTCATCTTATTTCCGGGTTGAATGGGAGTCTATAGGCCAATAAAAAAAATTCTGATTCCATTTGATATGTGCCATGGATTTATAATGTCCGTGAATTTTAGAGGCACACACTTATTTTCGACAGGCTGGAAATGTTGCTTTAGGTTTTGTGTGAAAACATGTAGTGGACTATAAATGCTCGTCCCACCAAATTGACGTCATTGAACTAAACAAGAAGAAAAATGGCTGGCTCCTGATATTTCAGAAAAAAAGGACGTCTCCATATTGCCAAATGTAATATTTGATATGTACGCATATCCTTGCTCTGAAAGGTTCAAATTAATAGCGTGTGTGTGTGTGTGTGTGTGTGTGTATGTGTGTGTGTGCGCGCGCTACAAATAGAATAGCTAAGAGAGCGACCACCACTCCTAGATTTAGTTTTCTTTTCCATTTATTCTATAAACCAATTTATTCTCTCTGCACACTCAGCAGAAAAAAAAGAATAATTTCTGTGTTAAATTAAGCTGTAAAAGGAAAGAAGAGCCACACAACATATCTGAGACATTAAAGCACCGGATTAGACCTTTTTTCCTTATTGTGAAAAAATTATGCTTCAAGTTTTCCATTTTTTATACTGCTTCTCCAGACATAAAAGCTCTTTTTAAATCTTTTGTGAAGCTAAAATAAGTCCTACTCCCAGCAGCAAAGCGGTTCCCAGTGACTTCTGGACACTGTTGGGTTTAAAATGAAAAAATAAATAAATAAATAAATAAATAAAATGAAAAATAAAATTAGGTTTGTAAAGATGAGCAGTGCCTTGTACAAAATGAATGAAATAGATCCCATGAATGAGCACGAGCATTTTTCTTTAGTCCAGACTTGTGCTTTTCATAAAGAAATGGATTGGCATGTTGCTATTAACCGTGTTTCCACTAAAGGAGTTCGGGGACATTTCTGGGAGGGGGAAAATTGACGAGGTGATACAATGGCTCGGTCCAGGCCCAGAGTCGGTCAGCCAGGCACACAACTACCTACTGATTGCTTTGGCGTCCCCTCCAGGCTGGCGCCCTTATGCGTCACGTGCTGCACTACATACTAGAGCTGAACGATTCTGGAAAGTGATCTAATTGCAATTTCTTTCTTCAATATTGCAATTGCGGTTTAATTCACGATTATTATCTCAAAGGGCTTTTCTCATATTTTTCAACTAGCAGAAGCAAAAAAAAAAAAAATCTATGTAACTTGAAGTGAATATAAGCAAGTTTATGTATCTATATACTTATCTACATATCATATCTACAAGTTTATTTGCCTACATTTACATAAACACTCACAAGTAAAGACAAAATTTTGTATTTGAAGGTGCAATCATGCTTTGCAGCCAGGAGCACATCCCTTGAAGGAGCATAGGTATTAGCAACACTTATAAAAAAGTAATTTGCAGTGTGTCCTGTTTATCAAATTCTCTTGTGTTTAGAGTTTTTGACGTCTTGTCCATGCAAAGCTTCCGTAGTTCAGTTAAGTTCATAGTAGTGATGGGAATTCCGGCTCTTTTTAGAGAGCCAGTTCTTTTGGTTCAGCTCACCAAGTAGCTCCTCAGATTTTCTGTTGCGTAGAATACATTTATAACCAAAATAATGCTAAACTATATGTAAAATAATTTACTAACGTAAAAAAGCAATATATCAAATGTTTATCATTTCTATGGATTTAATAACTGAACACTTTAAGAAATCTCCACTTTCCGACTGCTGGCGCTCATTTTCTCACCATCTTCGTCGCACTCTCCTCCCTCTCGCTCGCCTTTTTCTCCTCATTCCCTCTCGTCTCCCTCCTCCCACATGTGCTCTGCTGTGTGTCTGTCTGAGTCTGATCCTCCCTCTTCCCCGCCCCTACTGCTCTGTGTGTGGACAGTCTGGACACACAGTTACACATGTTGACCAATCGCCTGTAGCTTTCACCAAGGCGGGGGGGGGGGGGGGGGGGGGGGGGGGGGGGACGGCTCCCAATGACGAGCCGGCTCCCGTCGTTCACTTCAAAGAGCCGGCTCTTAGAGCCGGTTCGTTCGCGACCGACACATCACTAGTTCATAGCTGCTGGCCAAAACTCCGTGGAGTAAAAATCTCATGGTTTTCTGGCTTCACTAAAATGTCTGTACTTATTTGATTGATGGTAGTTTTTGCTTTTTATTAGACTCCAAATGTAATCATTTGACATGTTCCTAATTCATAATTTGTAAGAATATAATCGGCGATATTAGCATTAACATCCCTATGGGTTTTTCCATGCATATTAGCATTGTGCTAACCACTCGCTGCTAGTCAAATCGCAGCCTTTGCGATTAGAAAATCTCCTTTTGTCATATTACAATTTAATTACATATGCATTTAATCGTTCAGCTCTAATGCATACCCACCTTTTTGTGCTACTGCTCTCATGTCTCCATATTCAGCCCTTTCAGGACTTCCCTAAAAGACTTCAGCATATCACAACTGCTTCAGCAGTGTGATGTCACTGGCTGGCACCAAAAAGCATCTACAGATAATAAAAATATTTAAAGTTTTATTCTGTCAAAGTAAGCCATCATTTAATCAACTGAGAGGACTGGGAGAGCAGCTTAATGTAAAAAGTGGCATTCAATGACCAGAAGGAATGCAGTTTTTTAAAAGAGACAATATGTAGTTTTTACCTTTAATCAAAAAGCTGTGTTGAAAATGAATAAAATTTTGTCCAATTGTTGAAAAATATTGGCAGCTTTATAACATACATATAACCTTAAAAATTGGGTCTAAAGTACTGCGTCTGCCTCCGGTGCACCCCAGGCCTAATTCTTCTAATCTTACAAATGCCAGTTGTTTTAGCAACTTCTGCCGATGTAATTTTCTTCGGAGTTACAACCAACTAGCGCAAGTAAACCACAAGTCTTGGTCAGCGACTCTACTGGACCATTCCAAGTACCTACCACAGCTCAGCTACTCCATTGGTTCCCGAAAATGGCCCGGAGAATAGTCCACTGGGCCGGTGTCGGTACAAGATCTGCTCGGGTGCAAGATCGGCTCGGGATCCTTCGACTGCCGATGACGTCAAAGTGTGGCAAACCCACTCGGACAAAATACAGCACACATCTATACTGTTGGAAAGAATTTAGCAGTTTCGTTATTAAAATAATGTTTCTTAAGACATAAGTTTGTGTTTATAATGGTATTTGTAAAATAAAACACTATATTTTATTCATAATGTTGAACTCCTCTTTGAGCACATCCCTTGAAGGATCATAGGTATTAGCAACACCTGTGAAATTATATTTGCAGGAAAGAAGTGTGTCCCGTTTATTGAAGTATTTTGTGTTTAGTTTTTGACGTCTTGTCCATGTGTAGTTCAGTTACGCTCATAGCTGCTAGCCAAAACTCTGGAGTTAAACGTTTTCTGGCTTTAGTAAAATACCTGTCTGTACTTATTTGATTGTTGGTAGTTTTACTTTCTATTAGACTCCAAATGTAATCATTTGGCACGTTTCCAATTCATAATTTGTAAGAATGTAATCAGTGATATTAGCATTAGCATTCCTATGGGTTTTTCCATGTATATTAGCATTGCGCTAACCACTCGCTGCCAAATTGCAGCCTTTGCGACTAGAAAATCTCCTTTTGTCACATCGCAATTTAATTGCACATGCAGTTAATCGTTCAGCCCTAATATACATGCAGCTCTATGCTAAAAGTGTATTTTCAAAGAGGTAATGATGGATTTCTTTGTAAAAGTTGTCCATCTTTCCAACAGAAAGATTTGCCTGGACTAACGTAACGTGATAACAACGTAACGTGATTACGTAATTCCATACAGTTCATGTTCAGCCAATCAACTACTTTGACGTCATCGGCAGCCGACGGACCCCGAGCCGATCTTGCACCCGAGCAGACCTTGTACCGACACCGGCCTGCTGAGGTGAAGACATGAGCATGAAGCGAAGTTCCGGTAAAATTACCCTGAAGATCCGGTGGTGGAAACACGCCAACTTTCATTGAGTCGGGGAAAACAACAATAAAAAAACACAACCAAGAAGGCAAACAACAGTCATTTTTACTGTAAGCTTTACAATCAAGTGTAATAAAATGCGCATTTGGAATAGTTGTAAATGTAATTTCTTTGTTTGTTTTTTATAATTTATTGTAACTTCAAACAAAAATAATTTCTACAAAAAATATTCAAATAATGTCATATAATATTGTTACGTGGTTCATATCCTTTCTCTCTCTGTTAGACGTCTGATTAGCTTGATTAAACTCTGCTTCCTGAATATTGTGAGAGGATTAAATCTCGTTAAGTATGGCAACAATCACTCATTCCTCTAACAATCATAATAGTGACTAATTTATTCTTTAGGATTCATGACCCCACCCATCCCCAGATAGTATAATATATGTATAATCTCAGCAACTGCTTGTGGGCACATTTAGATAAAATGATTAAACGTTTGATTTAGGGAAAAAAAAAGAAATCAAGTCTCATCATTTTTCAAGAAGAAATTAAACCTGGGTATTGTACTATGTAGGCCGTGGCAGCAGAACTAAACAAGCTTCTTTTTGACCTGTCAAGTGCCTCACTCGCACGCTGAGTCAGACCACACACACACGCACGCACGCATACACACACACTCACACATTAGCGACCTTTAACTCAACCAAGGCAAAAGAAGAACTAAAAGGGTCTATGTGAGGTTACAACAGCCATACCCTTAGAAGTGAAACAGTGGTGATTTAAGTGTTTTTATGCTTTTTGGTTTGATGCACATTGCTCCAGCTGAAGAATAAAGGGAACAGTGGTTGGTATGATTTCCATCCCCTTTTACTGGAACCTTTTTCCTCTGAGGGGTTTGTCTTGGTCTGTCTCACACCTGGGCACACACTCGGTGTCGTAACAGTCCTCTGGAGGTGTGTGTATTCACGTGTGTTTGCAAGGTTTAGGTAGTGTTCAGTGAGAGTGTCAAGTGCTGTTGTGTGCTTTTCTTTGGGGTCCATGATTTGTCTGGTCCTCCCCATTCTGGGTCACCCCCTCTTTTTGTCCCACAAACACACACACTTTGAAGGGTAGGGGCTCAGTGGTGTGTTAATGTGGCCAGCAGGTAGGTCAGCAGAGTGCAGAGCAGCAGGGTGGCCGTAGAAAGGTGCGGCGAAGAAGCGCCGTTGCAGTCCTTCCCCGCCTCGCAGCGGGACTCTTGGCACAGAACCCCTTTATACTCTGGAGGACAGACGCACTTCTGGTTCAGGTAGCACGTTCCTCCGTTCAGGCAGAGGAGCATCTCCTCGTCGCAAACATTAGCTGTGAAAGAGAGAGAGAGAGAGGAGAGAGGGAGAAGCGGTGTGGACATCACAGGGATGGATTTGCAGAGGTAAGTAGAATGAGTGTGAGGAGTTGCAAAATCGTGCAGCAATGTGAGAAAAAAGATTGACGTTAGGAGCGTAGGGGAGTGAAAAGCACAAAGATACAGGAAGAGATGTATGGCAAAGAGAAGCATGAAAAGACAAGGAAGGGGCAGTGTTAGAAATGAGAAGATAGGAAGAGATACGGCAGGAAGAGAGGAATCCAGGGCAGGAAGAACAAAGAGAGGAACATAGCAGGGGAAGGAAAAGGGGAAAGATAAATTCTCTTGTTTTGTTCCTCAGGGACAAGAACAAGTAACACCTGCCTTTTTTTTTTCTTTCACTTTTTGTTGTTTCTGCAGCCTGTTTTTTTAATCTGCCCATTTTCCTTGAGCCGGCACTTTCTCAGGGTCAAGTCAAAATTGTTTTGTCAAACCCAGCAAAAAGCAGCCTTGCACGTGTGATTTTAGCTACGTAATGATTGGAGGAGCAGTCGTTAAAATGCTAAAATCTGCATAAACACAGTAGCAGTTGGACTTTTAAAAATACCTGACCTGAAATTAATTATTAATTACACCATGTTCTCTATTATTATTGATGCATAAGTGAAACTGCATTCATGTCTGGTCTTTTTGTGCACGTCCACCGATGGTCTATTTGCGACATGGGCACCTGACGGGATTGTGGATGGCGGAGGAAGGCGAATCTCTGTAATAGGGTTAAGGTGTGACAGAGTCATCCTTTCAAAGAGCAGACGACGCCTCTAATGAGCTACATGATCTGTTCCCTTGTGAGTAAAGAAAACATCAGGAGTGGCGTGAGTTAAATGGACTGTGCTCTTGAGAAGGCCCTGGAAAAGGCTGCAACCTTTCAATGAGTATTGGGTCTGCTCATACTCACGGTAGCAGCCCTGCTTCCAGTAGAAACCCGGCACACAGTCGTCACATTTGGCTCCCGTGGCTCCATCTTTACACTGGCAGAAGCCCGTGTTGTTACACCGGTCATGGACGGAGCCCAGCTGATTGCAGTTACACTCTGAGGGAATAAAACAGTGTTAGATATTTGACCATTGAGTTCACTCAAACATATTCATAAGTCTTTTCCCATTAACCCAATTTTTGTTTTTGTCTTTAAGCAAATATTCCTAATTGAAATTTGTGAAAGGTTAACGTGGGAAGTAGACTTTTAAGTAGGAATGGAAAAACTCATTGATGTGTGAAGCTGCCTGTTCTTTAAAGGTGACATGTCTCACCTTCGTCTCTACTGCCTCTATAAAGACTCCAAACATGAAAAAAATCAGTGCGTGGTTTTAGGAATTATCAATTTAATAATCATGTATGAGGACTGCTGTAAAGACACTGACAGCAGTCAGTGACTCGATGCAATTTGCCGGGTTGACTTCGTTTTTAAACACCTTCGTTTGGTAAAACTTATAAGTTTTAACCAGATGTTTTAATAGTTGATCATTCGTCTTTTAACGTTAACCTTTTTGAGTTTGTGTGCGTTTTTAGAACCTTTTTATAACAATAAAACCCTTTTAATATCCACTGCAGTTTTTATGTTATCCCCATCCTTCACATTTTACCATCTCATGTCGGGGACGTAACACTTGGGTCCACGTGGCAGGGGTGAGGAGTGAGTACCACCTCACCCCGCCACGTGGACCTTGCAGATAATTAAATATCTGTTAAACTCTCAGCGGTACAGCTATAGTGTGATTTAAGACATTTTCATTTGCATGTTATGACTCATGTCCCTGAGTTTGAACAGCACAAATACACAGACGTGTACTCAAGTTCTGCTTCAGGTTAAATAGTCATTTAATCCACTTACTGGCATACATAAGATATTTTACAGCCTTGAAAAAAACCTGACTTTCTTCCCTTCTAAGGCTGATAAACAAAAAAGACAGATGTCCTTTTATATCAGAAGGTACGATGCATCTCAGATGTTGATGGAGCCGATTCAACCTCACAGAAGTGTCGGCTCTTTTGATCACATGATGCCTGAATTCAAAGGTGGGAGCCATGAATATGGTTTTAAAATAAGCTGAGGGGAATGCTGAAAACTTTTTGTCATGCTGAATAATTTAACAGTGTTTTGGAATTCTGATTCAAAGATGTTCATCAAAATGGACTTCCAAACATTAAAGCTGATGTATTCTGTCAGAAAAAAAACACACACCTAATGTCTCGTTTTTACAGATAATGATCATTTCTCTATGTGCTCAGTGGTTTGTAATGAAAGAGTCAGAACACCCCAAAAAATCTTTATGTGGGTATTTTTTTGCATTGCAAAGACATTTCCTTAGAGATGGATCAGAATAGTTGAACTGGTCATAGTAGGACAGGCTTTATTCCTCCCTCATTCATCTCAATGAATTGTGTAAAAACACACCGGTTTTATCTACTGGCTGCTCCTGTATCATTATCTGAAAACTATGTAAAAAAAAAAAAACTTTTTCTCAGAAGCCTTCCAGTATCTTATTTAGACCCTCGAATAATTATCTGAGTGAAGAAGAAGAAGAAATCATTTCTATAGCCCTCTCAAGATGAAAATCACGAGGCGCTTCACAAAAACAAAAAATGAGTGAGATAAATTTCACTATAAAGACTATAAATATCATTCCTGAGAAGACGGACCCTTACTCTGAGAAATCTGAGTCCACCACTCAGTTGAGTTGCTAGTTTCTGTAAAGAGTCTGGCTCAATTTCTCATTTCGTACACGTATTTTAACTATTACGACGGATTCAGTTTGTCACCAACGTAAACACTCAAATGACTGAGTACATGTAAGAAATATCGAGAGGAGCCAGTTGAGGTAGCTCGGGCTTTTTGTTGGCATCATGGTGGAGCCTGAAAATAAATGTAAAATAATGTCTTTGGAGGCAAAGTAAAGCGCTAAAACCAGAGTGAAAATTGACGTGGTCTACACTCGTTTTAGTGATGAAGACCACAAAATCACAGACTGATGGTGACCTGGCTTTAATGCTACTGGGCTTCATATTTTTTGTCCAACAGTGCATCGTTTAATGTTGTGTCTTATTTTAGCAGAGATGTGACCAAGTCACTGCTTTGCAGGTCACAAGTAAGTCACAAGTCTTTCCAGTCAAGTCTCGAGTCAGGTCCAAGTCAAAGACAACCAAGTCCAAGTCGAGTCCAAAGTCAATGATCTGGAAGTCCAAGTCAAGTCCAAATCCCTAACTTTGAATTTTCAAGTCATAATCAAGTCATCTGTCCAACTTCAATTTAAGGAAGACCTGATGCTGCCGGGGCAGACGGCTCCTCTGATGGCGTTTCCTTGCCTTACCTTACTTGGCTCACCTGGACTCAGCCAAATATAATTTTTACTTGTGTGTGTCTGTGTTTGCATGTGCGTGCGTGTGTGCACTTGCATATGTCTGTTAATGTTTTTAACCTGTTGTGGGAATCTGGGGTAATTTTGTAAAGCACTTTGAGTAGCACTTTGTTTGAAAAGCGCTTTATAAATAAATCTGATTGATTGATTGATTAATGACACTGATAAGAAATGAATTCCAGAAATAAAGCTTCTTAAAGCTTCATTTACTTGCTCAAACAGCAGAAAGTGCAACTGAAACTGATTATAAACTAAGAGCTGCTGCATTTAGCAGTAAATCAAACCCAGAACGAAGAATGATTTATGATTTTTGTCCATGTCGCACCACTTTTGTGCTAAAATATCAAATATGCTCAAGTCATCATCAAGTCAACAGATGCAAGTTAATTCAAGTCACAAGTCATTGGCCTTCAAGTCCGAGTCAAGTCGTAAGTCTTTATAGATTTTAATGAAGTTTCTGGCATAACTTGAGACAGACTAATTGCTTTTCTTTTACATGAAACTTAAATTTAGATCAGCTAATTTATAGATAAATATTTATTAAAAATATCTGATCAGAGATAACCAGGCATTTTTGTTTGTGGGTCATGTACATTGGCATCAAAGTTGTTTGTGAGCCAAACTGAGGACGCCAAACTGCGTAAAGTGCGTTTGTGTCTCTGGAGACACTTGCGTGACGTGATTTCTGTTGCCACGATCCGTGTGCCAACATGCTGGCAGATGAGCTGATGCGGTTTTATTTGTGCTGAGTCTGCCTGATCCTGTGTGTGTCCTGAACATGTTTACCCTCCAACCTCCTGCAGCTCACACACAGATGGATCCAAATCAACAACAAATTTTACCTCTGTGGACATGCAAACAGAATAACCTCAACTCAAAGCATGTGTTGAGCCACAGAATAAAAAGTTGTAAAGGAATTTTAGCCAGAAATTAATTGCATGTCATGCTTTTCCTTGTTCTGCCACTTCAATTTAAAGGTGATCATATGATCGCTGGTTTTAAGGATTCCTATGAATACATATACTGGAGTTCAGCAAAGGTCAGGTGTTGGAATACACTTGAAGTCCTAAAAAGCCCACCGAAACCTCAAAAAAGTGTTGTTTTTGGTCTTATACGAGGTGTGCTGCATTTTAGTGCCCAAAGAGCCTTTACTAAAGGTTTAGGGTGTAGCCATTTATAGAAGGCGCCCAAACACTGTTAAGCCCTGGTTAAAACCTGTGTGATTTGTGCCACATGATAGAAATTAAGATGGAGATGATCATGCAGGGCGTTCAATTCAATTTAATTCAAATTCAAAAATACTTCATTAATCCCAGAGGGAAATTAGAGTTTCAGTACACATAAATCTGAGATCAGACATACATGACAAGAATTGGGACTGTGGTCATGCGCAACCCGAGTCGCGCTACCGTAATAGATCAAGAGGGTTTATATCAGGGTAGAGTCAGGGGGAGGGGAAAAAAGGCACTTCAGAGGTAGGGGCTCGACACACGGGAGGCGACAAACGACCGCGATCAGCGAAATTCGTCGCTGTCGCTTTTAGTACCTGACACACGGAAGGCGATCCGCGGCAGCGGCAAAGCCGTCTACGCGTTCTGTTCCATGGTGAAATCGAAACTTCCGTTGTTTTGTTTGGCTGTGTCAGGTTGGAGGGAATTAAGGTTATTTAAGCAGTTTAGAGTTAATAAAGTGGTAGATATGATGTTTCACAAGCTAAAGTTATGTGAAATCTTACTTCTGATTTTACTATATAAAACATAATAATAATCAACTTCTCCTTCATGTTTGCTCGGAGGTGTACGGAGCATCCTGTCCGCTCATTGGTCAGTGAATGAAACCTCCGTTGATTGGTCCTCGTCCGAGCGACAGCGATGAAAAGTAGAAAATATTTCAACTTTCTGGGATCGCGTCGCTGGATCACCTGTGCACGACACGTGCACGAGCGCAAAATTTCACACGCACGTTTTTCGCTTAGTAGGAGGGAGACCCGCGATTATCGCTTTGTCTCGTTGAAAATGAATGGAGGAGAGGTGATGTCGCCTCCCGTGTGTCGGGCCTATTACCCTCAACAGAGAGGGTAGCTTTGCTATGCAAAAAAAAAAACACCTCAGACAGTTCAGCTAAAAGTTGATAAGGTCACAACAATTAGAGAGAGATACGGTTTGGATATAAACATCACTTTTGTTTGCACATATTAATGTTGGAAGTGTAAATCTTAGAATATGTGTCCATCTGGATCAAACCTGCAGCCAAATGTCAGCAGTTTATCAAACTGAAGGAAAGAGATTCTTACAAAATCAAATTCATTTGGAGCCCTGACCCCTGCCAGGGTCTCAGTTCATGTGCTGAAATAACAGCTACACAGAGATTCTGACAGATGAAATGGTCCTAAAGCCTGAAGTTCAGAACTTGTTTTGCTTTTAGACAACAAAAGCAGAAAATGATGTGAGTGAGAGCAGCTTTGTTTGGATTTCAGCTATGTTAAAATTCTGGAAACCCAACAACACCGTTGTGAGTCAAGATGGGTGAGTCCATGAATGTTATGTGACATCTGTCATCCTTTTCAAATTCTACAGTTTCACCATCTATTTCTAGTTTGATGTCAGGCACCCACACCCCGCCCCTCAGCCTCTGGCCGGAGGGCAAGAAGCCGGCACCTTCCCATTGACCACCACTGTGTCTGTTAGTTATCAATAAACAGAGCTAAATAGCAGCAAATAAAATCTATCAGCATTATTACACACAGAGCTGTAGGCTGCACAAGTAAACAAAAGACGGACAAAGTCAAATTTACAGGTTTCCAGCAGGTAAAATGCACCAAAGGCAATGGTTAAGGCCAGTTCTTGTGAATAAACCACCCACATTATGACAACGTCTCATGACAGCATAAAAAAGTAAAAAAATCTGCCCCACATGTCCAGAAAAAAAAAGTTATAGCCATCTAATAAATTACATGCTTTATTATATAATTATGCATGACCGCGGGGACGAGGAGCCGGCCGGGGAGAACCAACTGGCCGAGAGGAGGCAGCGGCAGGTAGGAGCTGTGCTGCAAATCAGCCTTGAGACAAAAACGTGTATGAAAGTGACAACGCTGGTGTGGTGTGTAGTTCACGGTAATTTGGTAAACAGAGCATCCGTTAATCTCCGAAGACGAGCAGTGTCACGCCGATCGTTCAGTATAGACCCGCAAAACGTAGAATAGATCCGGTTACAACTTTGGTTCAGCTGTGAGAAGCCCAGACAGCCAGTTCTGAGGACTGCTGTCCCCGCAGCTCAATAGCTATAGGGAGCCTAAGTCACTTCCGGACCATGTGTCCCCGGAAGAACGAAAAAATGAATGCAAGTCAACGGGGCTAAAAACGCTATTTTCTAATTCCGCTTGTTTTGTGGCATGGATTTCACATATGATGCTTGTAAATTTTAAAGACACATTTTGATACCAAGAACGCACTTATTTGCGAATGGGGGAACGATAATTTAGGTTTTTTGTGACAATAAGTCCAGGACTACAAATGCACTTCACGAAAGTGATGTAGTCAAACCAGACAAGGAGAAAACTGAGGGAAAAGTGCTATAAGTTCAGCAAACTTCCCACAGGAGGAAACAACCACCATAAACCTGCTCATTTGGAAGGTAGCAACTACATTGGGGAGAGGAGATTATGTGGTGATGTCACATATGCGACATGCTGATTTCTAGTTTGTAGTCATGTTAATGACGAACTTTTACAAGCTAATAAATCTCAAAGTACATGACTGGCGTGGTCGAAACACCCATCAATGGTTTTAATTTAAATTGCAGTACAACATATGTGCTATCCAGGGCGTAAGGCAAAGCGGATTAGAAAATTGCGTTTTTAGCCCGGTTGACTTACGCTCCCTGTTTCAAACGTGTCTGGAAGCTTTGCGCTAAACGCAGTTAGCTTTGAGATGTTTCTTTTTTTTAATTCATCTGCACAAAGATGTGTTAGATAATTTCAAGTAGTTTACATCCCCATTTTGTTAGCCTACATCATGTATTTATTTGTATTGGTGTTTCTTCTTCTTGTATGTACCTGCACTTGTAAAGTGACCTTGAGAGTCTTGAAAGGCGCTTGAAATAAAATGTATTATTTTTATTATTATCACGGAGATACAGCTCTGGCTGGAGACGGAGTTCTCCCCTCCAGCTAATGTGGATGTGTGCAGTTACCCAGATGTTAACATTCAATGGGTCGGTCTATAATCAGAAATAATCATGAAAAATTAGGTTTTCAGTGTTCCCCGCCTTTACCTTACACACACGTTGCTAGAATCACATTTGTGATCAAATCTTAAATAAGAACTAAAATGATAAAGAGACACTTTATCCACTATTAAAGTCCTCCTTAGTGTTCAAATGTTTCTATCATGCATCAGTGTGTCTGTCACTGGGATGACGTGTGAAGGACTTCTGTTTCAAACATCCAGAGTTTACATTTATAACCAGATCTAAAAAAGTATTATTATCGCCAATTAACTTCGTTTTTTAGTTGGAAAACCTACAATTTAATTAGTTGACTGATTTTCAAAGCTTGTGCAGATTCCTGTTCTCTGCTTCACACACACACACACACACACACACACACACACACACACACACACACACACACACACACACACACACACACACACACACACACACACACACACACACACACACACACACACACACACACACACACACACACACACACACACGTACAGGCACAATCCCACAGCGTCCCAGAAGACTGACCGATGCAGACGTTCTCATCATCCAGCTCGGCAGAGGCGTTGCGGAAGTATCCCAGTCTGCAGTGTTGGCAGTTCTGGCCTCTGGTGTTGTGCTTGCAGCTGACGCAAGTGACGATGTTCAGGTAGTCGATGTAGCTGCAGCGATTGGAGTGGCCGTTGCACTCACAGTCTGCAAGAAAGAAACAGATTTTCTTTTAGTTCCAAGAGGAAGATAACGATTTTATGTTGGGGGTAAAAAGCCGATGAGGGAGAATGTTGCGTTATTACAAGATTACTGGAAATGATAAATGAAACAGATCTTTCCGAAAGTTTTACTTCTGTCAGTTTAAAGAATGAATGGCTCTGAAAGCCAGTGTGTGTGTGTGTGTGTGTGTGTGTGTGTGTGTGTGTGTGTGTGTGTGTGTGTGTGTGTGTGTGTGTGTTATTAGGCACCTCTCTCCATCTACATTGGTTTAATAAAGACAGACCACTCCCTATCACAGATCTGCTGAGTCAGCCTTGATGTGTTGCACTGGTTACTGAAGGGAATTCCACCATTCTCTCTCTCTCTCTCTCTCTCTCTCTCTCTCTCTCTCTCTCTCTCTCTCTCTCTCTCTCTCTCTCTCTCTGTGTGTGTGTGTGTGTGTGTGTGCGTGCGTGCAGGTCTGAGGGAACAGCCATATTAACTGTGTCTGGGAATTTAATTGTGCCACCAGATGAGACAAGCTACAAAACCATAACTGAGGGAGTTTGAGGTGAGCGAGGTGTTTCCAGACTCCACATGAAACTATGAAATCAGTTTGACCCGGATTAACCTGATAGAGAGCACGGCCTCAACTCCAGAGCTGGACGATAAACCCCCAGAGATAAATGCCACAAAGTTGTTTGGATAAGAGTGATGAATGTAAATGAAATGCATTTGGGGCAACCTTCATCTGGAAGACTGTCCTGCTCTCAAAAACGAAAGCAAGGGTTGTTTGTTGATGCGGTGAATAACTAATTATAATTATCCGAGGACAATGCAATGTCCAGTGGTCTGCACGCGAATCCTAAAAAAAAAACAGGAAATATTGTACAAATTATGTATTTTACCTTTCAGAAACTTTCTGGTTTGTTTTTAACTCCTAATGAAGAAAGGTATTTTTAAAAATGGACTCCTTACAAATATAGTTGCTAAATCTGATGAGAACCCCTTTTATCATTTTTTTTTCACGTGTAAATGAATTATTTAACTACAGTATTTTGTTTCTTTTGATTTGAAAGGCTTCAGATGCATAGTGATCAAAGTTTTGGAAACACAACTTACCTACTGGTCTTTTGACAAACATAATACTTTTTAAACTAAATTCGGCTTTGGTGAAGTCCTTCTACACATACTGCTATTTCAACTGTTAGCTTTATTTTTTCCTTTCAGTGTTTTTCTCCCCAGAAGAAGCTACAATGGTGTTCTGCTGAGCTGCGGTGGCCTCATGGAGGGGGGCCATCGGCTAGCACACTGCTGCTAACAACTTAAACATTCTCCCTCTCCTGATAATAACATTTTACTATTAATGTGCTACTAATAGTTCAAATGTTGGATTAATTATAGATTCATTACGATAAAGACAAAGTGTATCTCTTACGAAATACCGGTATATTATTTCCTAAGATATCACAACTCAGCCATAGAAACACTGGGGGGGGGGGGGGGGGGGGGGGGGGGGGGTTGGTTGGGGTTGGGGTTGTGTGTGTGTGTGTGTGTGTCTGTTCTGTCTTCTCGATCCCCAGTGAGTCGTGGTGGATGGCTGCTTATATTGAACCAGGATCCTCTGGAGGTTTCTTCCTGTTAAAAGGGAGTTTTCCTCTCCACTGTCCCTACATGCTTGCTTATGAGGATTGCTGTAAAGACACTGACACTAGTCAGTGACTTGATGCAATCTGCTGGGTTCCTCATATACTTTTTACTGATTGGCTAAATAAACTGAACTGCACTGGAAAGTTTACTTTGAGAAATGTAAACCTCTGAGACGTATCTTGTTGTGATTTGGTGCTATATAAATAAACTGAGTTGAATAATTGATGTAATAAATAATGTAATTTAATGGTAAACACTTAAAAAAACTATTGATTTAATTAAATCAATGCTGGTCCAGTTTTTCACCCATAATTTCCTGGATCTAGTTTGCACTGCGGTAAAGGTGTATTCGTAAAGTCTAACCAGTTTGCCGATAGTGTAATCACATCTCATTATTTCTAACTTTTAAGAATATATTGTGAATATTCTTTTTTCAAGTGCAGTTTTCTTCAAATTTTTAAAGGTGGTAGTTAATTCTACAGTTTTAACTTTCATTTCCATAAATTGGTGCACATTCAGAAGCCTTTATTGGATTTATTGAAGCAAGCTCAATAATAAAGGCATTTTTCGAAATTTGGGACAAAATCAAAGAAAAACGGGGTTCAAATTTGAATAATTTTCCTCACAGAGAAAGAAAAGCAAATGCCTGACACTAGCAAAGGGAGACTCTACATTGTGCAAGGGGTTGCAGCGTTACGTGGAGACGAGCTGCTCTACACACTATTATCTTGGCTCAGGCTGGTTCCTAATTAAGGTTTTATTAAGCTTTAGAAGTTGGCTGCAATAGTGTGCTGCAAGGCATCACTGTCCTCTAAAGAGGCGTTTACCAGGCATGTTTATGCAAATACACATTTAAATGCACATTAAAAAGCTGGAGTTTAGCTCTTTAATCAGCCATCACATTATTATTTTATTATTGTTTGGTTGATGATGCCAGCTGAAATATTAATGAGCGGGTTTAAAGGAAGCCAACTAGAGGAGAGCAGTAAAGTGCCTCACTCAGCACTGAGGGAACCATGCTAGGACGGTGTGTGTGTGTGTGCATGCGTGTGTGTGTGTGGGTGTGTGTGTGTGTGTGTGTGTGTGTGGGGGGGGGGGGGTTAAATAAATATAAATGGCCAATTACTTCACAGACTACAGAGGCAATGAGACATTGTTCCTTAAATTAGTGTTATGAGTCAATGGGCTGTGAACCGTCAACTGTAAAAGAGATACGTTAGGAGAAAAATGTCAACGATGGAAACTGTAAATTTGAAGGAATTAATGATTTTCAGTGTCTCTCATACAGAAAATAAGAGAAAACGTGTTAAAGCAGGGTCTGTTTTCATGAACACTTAATTCTTACCTTAGTCATGCACACAGAGCGATCAACCATGAGAGTGTTGCAGATGTAAAGGGACAGAAGGAGCAAAAAGAAGAAGTGAACAACACAAAAACAAAAAAGAAGGGATTTTTCCACTTGAATAACAACACTCGCCATTCAGAAACACGAGGCTTTCGTTTCCCATGTGTTTCATTGAACTATACGCTAAAAGGTTGGTCTCTTACCAATGAAATCGTCATATATAGTCCCAAGAAACTGTTTGATCTGTGGCTCTCCGGTGATCAAGAGTTTCAGAAGACCTTGAGAGATGAAGGAATCTTTATTTAACTTTCTGTCACCTATTGGGCTACAGCTGGAGTCTGTCACACCTTAAGTCAACACAACACAAGGGTCTAATCTGGAATCCCACTAGACTCTACCTAGATACTTTAAAGTGCAGGTTCAATGAGAAACCATTTTTAACTTATTTTTGAAAACGATTAGTCATTCTGAGATTAACATGCAGGCTGAACATAAGAATAGTCTTCTACCTCCAATTCCTGTGTTAGCTTCTGATAGAAAACAGACGGACAGACAACAGACAGAAAAGTTTGACAAATCTATGCTACGCTGTCACTTAACGTTCATGAAGGGTTAGGGTTGCGACAGAGAAGGCTGTTTTTGGTTTAGCGTCCAGCAAACAGCAGAGAACGTCTCGGCTAGTAGAAGCTAACTCAGATCAGACAGAGATGCGCCGAGCTGCGGGGAGAAGTGGCGTATTTTGGCGGTTCTGGCTTGCCATAAGAACCAGCCGTCTGCCCGCGCAGCTAACAGAAGCCGCGATCAGACAGATGCGCCGAGCTGCTGGGAGAACCAGCCGTCAGCCCGCGCAGCTAACAGAAGCCGCGATCAGACAGCGATGGACCGGGCTGCGGGGAGGGGATAAGGGTGGAAAACATCGGTCTCACAAGCCGATAGTGGGAACCCAGCTCCACCAACATGTTATATTTCAACCCATCTTCTAAAGTGCAGCATTATGTTAAATGCACTGGGTTTTACCCTATTACATTTAAATTTCATGGTTAAACAGTACATGTTAAAATCTAAGCTCAGCTCGGCAGTGACCTAAAATACATAAATATAATTTTACTTACAGAAAAAATGAAGTGGAGACTCCTTGGACGCTCTATTAGTGCAATTAATACCACAGCAAGTCATTTTGTCCAACAATTGCACAAACAATATCCAAACAAGAATACACACACACAGAGACTCAGAATCCCGGAGCAGTTTCCAAGCCAGACCGAGGCCCTACTGGGGCCTTTTCACGGAGCTAGTTCTGTGGTCACGTGGGTCTGATGCTCATTAATTATACAGAATTTTAGGCTTTTAATACACTTAAACAGAAGAGTGAGAAAAAAATTCACCCCCCTCAGAGTTGTCATGAGTGTAAACTAGATAATTTAAACCAAAAACATGTTCTGGTACCAGGCTGTAAACATGCTTATTTCTGCTGTGAAATTGGTATTTTTAACATGGGAGTCAATGAGGATTTGCTCGCTTCTGACACCAGCCCCCAGTGGATGAGGGTGGAACTGCAATTCATTTCACTTCCGGGTTTGACTCGATTTCAGAGCTGCATTGTGGGGGCCTGGTTTGAAGATGCAATGGTCACTATCCCAGTTTGGTAATAATTTGCACACTTGTGTACTACACACTCGAAGCCACTGTGCACTTCCTCCAAGTGAACTTTGCTGAAGACCACAGGGCGAGTATTGGGACTGGGCCTTCCACTTCCTCAAACAGGTACACCAGAGCTTTTTTCTCTAGATACAGACTTCCAACGCACTCGTTCCTACTAGAAACCACTGCAAATGAACAGTATAAAAATATGAGCTAAATTGACCTTTAAACTCAAAGTGACCAGTCGTATTTAAATAAATAACAAGTAAAAGCAGTTTCTCAGCAAACTTGGTCTTTAAAGGAGAAAACCCACCACTACTTTAGTGGTTCTTTACTAGTTAAATATCATTTGATATAAAGAGAATGTCTGTGGTACTCATCTATTCAAAATTTGCATCCAAATGAGATCAATTAGCTCAACAAGCCTTAAGAAGGATTTATCAGTTGTGGGTGAGACGTAGAAATCTTACAATTTTATAGTTTTGATGTGAAGTCCTGAAAACACCCTGAAAAAAGGTGTTTGAGCAAGACTTCTAAGGAAATTTACACTGATGAGTCATAACATTAAAAACCCTAACTAGCTGAAGTCAAACGCTGATCAAACATCGGTGCACAGGAGTTAAATCAAACAGACATGTTTAAATCTTGGTAAATTTATACAACCAGTTAAGAACCACTAAGCTTAAATAACACTACCTTTTGTTTTTAGTTTTTCCTTCTCTTGATTATCTTCTTCCCTTTCCCCAAAAGTGTGCCTTGTGGTCTCATGACTGCCTCCTTTCCTCCCAGGTTCAAAGATTTGGTGTGCTACAAATGAGCAGCAACTACAAATCTATTTGTATCGATGCAACATGGATTTTTTATTTTTTTTATTTTTTTTCCACATACGAGAGAGCAAAAGGAGCAGCTAGAGTCCACATAGTAAAGGTTTTTCTTTATTCTGTTTTTTATTTTATTTTGATTAGCATCAGCGAATGTGTAAGGCAAAAACAAAACAGTGCAGCGCTATGGTCAAGATCAAGATTTAGAATTATGGCTCATGCTGCCCGACAGCCAATTGTTTAGATAAAAGAAGTTTTTCACTTTCACTGAGTGCTGCCAAGTTTAATTCAGAGTACGAGTACATCTACTGAGCTTTTACTGCATCAATGTGGTGGTTAAAGATAGTCTAAATCTACTAGCTAAAACAAAACACCTTCGTTCTCAGCTTTAATATGTCTAAGGCCATCACCTTCATCATCTTCACCATCATCACCGTGCCTAGATGCTATTTTGTGGCCGTGAGTGTTGTGTGTGTGTTCCTCAGAAATATGGAGGTCTGAAATACCAGCAGTGACTCAAGTTAAAGTCTTGAGATTATCTATGAGAACAATAAAATGAAATGAAAATCCATTCATTTATTCTCACCTCCACTTTTCTCCTCATGTTCCGATGATGCTTTGTAGTCGTGAACAGCTGATTTACCACAAGCAAAATAAAGTTTTATCACTTGGAGTTTCCACGTTCCATTTTTGAGTAAAGAATAGGAATTGCACGTTTTTTATATTTAATTTTTAAAGGTATTTCTTCTCCAAGCCCTAAGAACATTTCGGATTTGTGCCTATCGATCACACGTTCACACAATGGTCTGAAATTAATGTTGCAATTCATTCATTGGTAACTTTTTCATCTACATTCCTTGTTTACTAGAATTTATAAACGCATCTAAAAAGATCGTACCAATCCCTTCGCCATTACGGGTGTGCTCCTCTCCTCTGTGTCCATGTGAGCTTACGGATTTGTGTCCATGAGTCTCATGTGGTGTGTGGGCATCTGAAATGAATATTACCATTGAGGTTACAGTATAACATTTATATAACTGTTGTGATTTAGACCAAAAAAGTCCAAAGTCAGAAGCTATAAGATCACACCCGTCTCTTCTGCTTCATCGTGCTTATGCTCTTCCTCCTCGTGTTCACGTGAGCTTGTTTTGTGGTTGTCAGTCTCACGAGGGTCTGAAAAGTCTAGGATCATTAATGTTAAAATTAAACACAGATTTATTTTTTATTATCCTGAATGTGTTTCAGTAAATCTGAAGGCATTTTTGGCTCTGCATTGGCATCAATGCAACAACGGTGTGAGGCAAAAAAGAAAGAGGATGAAGCCCTTCAACTCTGCCTTCCCCGTAAGCCTTCACCTGCTCTGCCGGCTCGGCCGACTCTTTCTCAGGCAGTTGCCTGAGCCCAGCCTCAGTTCCAGATCCCGAAGCGACCGAAGCCTCAAGCAGTCCAACCGGCTCCTTCGGGCTCAGCGCCTCGACCAGTTTGGCCTCAGAGGTCCGGCAACCAAGCCGCTCCGCCACCAGGACAACCCACCCGACCCGACAGTCAGCAGGTGAGAAAGAAGAAAAGAGCATCCTGACGGAGTTCTTACCTTCCCAACGCTGCAGCTGGCAGTTCCCCGTTCGCCAGCTCCACCTGTTTGGTGTTACCATGTTGCTCAACCCCCCCCCCCCCCCCCCCCCCCCCCCTCACGGGACCCCTTCAGAAGAGTCCCCGAGCGGTTCAGGGTGGGGCCAGGACGTGCAACCGGCTGTGCCGGCTCAAACCACACGTCACAAGCACTCACATTGTTTTTTACAAACATGTCACGCTCAAGTAGCATTAAAAATTTCGCCGCCGCATCCAGACAGAATGTCAAGGGCGCAGCAAAAATCAATTTAAATGCCGATGAGCGAAACCAGGCTGGGGTGGCCCCTGGCAGACTTTCCCGCCAGCCACGGGTCGTCCCCGTACGCCAGGGCCGCCAAAGCACAAAGCCCCCCGCGCATGCGCAGTGGTTGCCACAAGCACCACGGCCCCATAGCCTCTGGAGGGAGCTGCTGCTCCGTGTGTCATGGCTGTGTCACCGCTCTCCACTCACATGGAGGAATGGACAGTGGTTTCTGCTTCACATTGGGTGCTAAGAACAATTTTGAGAAGTTACAGGCTCCAATTCGCTTCAGTTCCTCCTCGATTCTCCGGCGTAGTGTTCTCCCATGCCCAGGGTACATCAGCTCACATCCTTCAGGGAGAAATCTCCTCCCTGCTAGAGAAGGGAGCGATATGCATTGTGCCTCTCGATCGGTCTCAGAGCGGTTTCTACTCCAGGTACTTCCTGGTCCCGAAACGGGGAGGGACCGGTATTCGCCCGATCCTGGATCTGAGGGCCCTGAACCGATGCCTCAGAAAGAACAGATTCAAAATGCTCACGCTCTCATCCCTTTTGCGTCTGATTCACCAGAATGACTGGTTCACCTCAATCGACCTGAGGGACGCGTACTTTCATATTCCCGTGTACCCTCCACACAGGAAATTTCTGAGGTTTGCCTTTCAGGGAGTGTGTTACGAATATACCGTGCTCCCTTTCGGCCTCTCGCTGACCCCGAGGGTGTTTGTCAGGTGTACGGAGGTGGCGATCGCCCCTCTGAGAGAGAGGAGCATTCGGCTGGCCACGTACTTAGACGACTGGCTCCTGCTGGCACGGTCCAGAGAGGAGGCAACGTCGAACACGCTGGTTGTGATCCCTCACTTGTGTGGTCTGGGTTTCAGAATAAACTGGCAGAAAAGCGCTTTACTCCCCTCCCAGAAAATAACCTTTCTAGGTCTGAATCTGGACTCAGGGGCGTTCACGGCCCGTCTCTCGGCACCGCGCGTGAACGCGCTCTCGTTCTGCCTGGCGCGCATCCGCCTACACAGTTCGGTGCGGTTTGCGTTATGCCTCAGGCTTTTGGGTCTCATGGCGTCGGCTATTTCAGTGGTACCACTCGGCCGTCTACACATGAGAGATTTTCAACGCTGGGTGGCTTCTCTGGGACTCTCTCCAGTGCGCCACAGAGCGCGCAGGGTGACGGTCTCTTCAGCGTGCGTCACGGCGCTCCGCTGTTGGCGTCACCCCTCCTTCTTGGCACAGGGGGTGCCTTTGGGGTTAGTTCTCGTGAGGAAAGTTGTCACGACAGATGCAAACCTGTCAGGTTGGGGGGGGGGGGCTCCTGGAAGGTCACTCTGTCAGGGGTGTGTGGAGCAGAGAGCTCTGGGGGACACACATAAATTATCTGGAACTCCTCGCGGTCTTTCTAGCCCTGAGGCGCTTCCTGCCTTTTCTCTCCAGCCATCATGTCCTAGTGAGAACAGACAACACCACGACTGTGGCTTATATAAACCGCCAGGGGGGGCTGCGCTCCGTGCGGTTACACACGCTGGCATGCAGACTGATCCTCTGGTGCAGCAGGCATCTCCTCTCAATCAGAGCCACCCACGTCCCGGGTGTTCTGAATCGGGGGCGGATCTGTTGTCCAGAGGGACTACCCTGTATGGAGATTGGAGCCTGCATCCAGCAGTGTTGGAACAGATTTGGATCCGGTTCGGCACAGCCGTAGTGGATCTCTTTGCCTCCAAGGAGAATGCTCAGTGTCCTCTGTTCTTCTCCCTGCGCGACCGAGACGCTCCACTCGGCGTGGACGCGCTGGCACACGACTGGCCACGGGAACTTCTTTACGCTTTTCCCCCAGTGGCCCTGATACCACCCACCTTGTTGAGGGTGCGAACCCAGCGCCACACTCTCATTCTGGTGGCCCCATACTGGCCAGCCATGCATTGGGTGGCGGACATTTTCCAGCTCCTGGAGGGCCAACCTTGGAAACTGCCGCTTCGCAGGGACCTAGTGTCCCAAGCTGGAGGCTCAATCTTCCACCCTCATCCAGAATGACTGGCCCTGTGGGTCTGGCCCCTGAGGGGTGCGGGTTAGGGTCAGCAGAGCTGCCCCAGGCAGTCATTTGAACCATTCAGAATGCCAGGACCCCCTCCACTAGATCCCTATATGACTGTAAATGGAGGGTGTTTGAAGCCTGGTGTCAGGGCAGGGATGCCTCACCCTTCCAGTGCCCTGTGCAAGACTTGCTGGATGGGAAAATGGCTTTCTCCACCATTAAAGTGTACCTAGCAGCCATTTACGCCCGACACTTGGGTTTTGGGAAGAAATTGGCCGGTCAACACCCCCTGGTGTGTAGCTTCATGAGGGGTGCGCGCAGGCTTCTCCCTGTGTCTCGACCCCTGGTGCCCTCATGGGATCTGTCCTTGGTGCTGTCGGCCCTCTCCGGGCCTCCATTTGAGCCTATGGACGGCCTGGACCTTAAGGTCCTGTTTCTTAAGGTGGTGCTACTCCTGGCTTTGGTGTCTGCAAAGCGAGTTAGTGACTTACAGGCTCTCTCTGTGCACCCATCCTGCACCCAGTTTGCACCAGGTGACATGAAGGTGTCCCTGAAGCCCAACCCTGCCTTTGTGCCTAAGGTAGTGGGCTCATTTTCTCCTATTCCCCACACAGCTTTCTACCCACCGCCCTTCTCCTCTCCTGAGGAGGAGCGGTTGCACAAGCTGTGTCCGATCCGCGCGCTCAAGGAGTATGTTAATCGGACGGAGAACCTTCACGGGGGGACCAGCTTTTTGTGTCATGGGGTGGACCTTGTAAGGGTAAACCCGTCACAAAGCAGCGGCTTTCCCACTGGATTGTGGAGGCTATTTCTATGGCTTACTCCTGCACCTGTAGGGCTCAGGGCCCATTTTACTAGAGGCCTGTCTGCTTTTTGGGCCCTTTTTTGGGGGCTGTCAGTCCAGGAGATTTGTACTGCAGCAAGTTGGGCTTCTCCACTTGCATTTGCATGCTTCTATAAGCTTGACGTTTCGGTCCCTGCAATGACTCACACGATTCTGAGTGTGGGGTCCTCGGCGGGCCAAGACGTACCTCTGTAGGTTGGTGATCGCTGGATAAGCTGTCTGGCAATACGGGAGTCTCCATATCCCATAGTGAGAAATCGAAACAAATGTTAAGAAAGAGAACATTAGGTTACTGTTGTAACCCCGGTTCTCTGGTGCGTGCGTTGGGACACTTGCTACTTATAGTAGCAGGTGACGCATACGTCACGGTCACTGGCCAATCAGGATTGGCGTATTGAGATACGTGCTTCTGAGGAATCCGCGGAGGGGCGTATCCCATAGTGAGACATCTCACTCATGATAGAGAACCCGGGTTACGACAGTAACCTAAAGATTTCTTCCCTTTGATCTGCTTTTACTGAAAAAAATCAACCTACCTAAACCTGAAAAACACTGTTCCCATAAGAACAACACCTTAAGAGACATGCCTTTGCTTTCATGCTGTATGTGTATGCTCGTCTTCTTCGTGTGCAAGCCTGTTGACGTGTCTCATGTACATTTCCATGCGACATGTTGCCCCATTTGCAGGTAAGCATCGCTTTTTTTAGTATCTGTTATTTTGTTCCGGAGCTCTGTTTTGTAATTCTGCCTTTAGACTTAACAAATCAAGAGTCTAAATATATACCTGTCAATTCAGCATTGTGTGTGTGCCTGCTCTTCCTCCCCAGGAGAGCCTTGTGTTTCTGAGAGACCCATGAGGGTCTGAAACTACTTGTGCTATTAATAAAAACAAGTAGGCTAAACACCAGTTGAAAAAATCTATCTACTGGCTATGAAATTCTGTTTTTGGGAAAATGATCTTCTTGATGTTTTTTTTACTAGCTTACAGGGTTTTAGCTGCCACTACAGAGTAATAATTACCTGTTATTTCAGTTTCTCCATGTGACCCTGCTGATTTGTGTCTGTGGCTCTCATGCACATGCCTGTGAGAATCGTGATGGTGTGATGAACCTATAGTTAATAAGATTACAGGTAAACATTTGTTGTTTGACCTCCAGTTTTTAATTCCCCCCCCCCCCCCCCAAAATTATCACCTGCTGATTAATTTTGCCATTTTAAAAGAAATCTATAGATTCACCTGATCTTTCAGCTTTACTGTGTACTTGATCTGCATCTCCATGTCCGTGTGACCCCGTTGTTTTGTGTCCGTGAGACTCGTGGAGTTCTGAAATCACTATTACGTTAATTTGTAAACACTTACAGGTTTTTCAGCATTCTGGTCATTTGAGTGTGATGCTTCTTAAACACATCTACTTGATATTTTCAACACTAGAGTTAAAATGATCTACGTGGAAATTATTTACCTGCCCCTTTAGTTGTTCGACGTGTGTGTTCATCTTCTCCATGTTCCTGTGAGCTTGTTACTTGTTGATGGCCGTGAGTCTCATGAGCATGTCTGTGAGACTCATGAGGGTTTGGAGAACCTATTAGGTTTACAGGTAAGCATTTGTATACATTTCTACTTCAAAAAGTTTCTTTAGGTACCATTCCACTTTTATGTGAATGTGATCTGTCATAAATTCATTCAAATGAACTACCCAATAGGATGATCTGCCCTGACAGAGTTATAGGCGCTCAGCTACATTGTTCTATGCGCCTACACTGCCAGAACAGGATTGGTTTAATAAAACCAAACCTTTTTAGGTTTAAAAGAGAAAGTATTTAGATAAGATTGTACAGCTGGCTCCAGGTCAGTTGAGTTAATAAAGGGCAGCGGGGAGATTTAACTGAACATTCATAATTTCTTTTTTACATTGTTGAGACAATATGCAATCTGGATCTCAGGTAACGAGATCTTGTCATTTTCATACTACAGTTTAAAGGACAACCACTGCTAAATCTAGAAGGTTACCTGTCATTTCAACATTTTGGTGTGTATGCTCATCTTCTCCATGTCCATGTGTGCTTGTTGTTTTGTGGCCATAACTTTCATGTGCATGACCAATAGTCTCGTGTTTGTGAGACTTGCGAGGGTCTGAAATAAATCATGAGGTTTACAGGTAAACATTCTATATCAATTTAAACTTTTATGTGTTTGTGTTGTAATCTACATAATATTTCTGTCACTAGAATTCCAAAGAACATAGCTAGTACAGCATCTAACAGATTACCTGTCCTCGCAAAGTTTCTGTCAAGCTCCTCCTCTCCATGTCCCAGTGGGGTTGTTTTGTGGCCATGACTCTCATGTGCATTTCCATTGGTCTCGTTTGCATGTCCCAGAGTCTTACGTGCATGTCCATGACTCTCATGCGCATTTCCAGTAGTCTCATTTGCATGTCCCCGAGTCTCATGTGCAATTCCATTGGTCTCATGTGCATTTGCATGAATCTTATGTGTGTTTCCATGAATCTCATGTGGATTTCTATTGGTCTCATGTGCATTTCCGTGAGCCTCATGTGCATTTCCATTACGCTCATGTGCATTTCCATGAGTCCTATATGCATGTCCCTGAGTTCCATGTGCATTTTCATGAGACTCGGGTGCGCTTCTATGACTCTCATGTGCATGTCCATGAGTCTTGGGTGAATTTCCATGAGTCTCATGTGCATTTCCATTAGTCTTGTGTTCATTTCCGTTAGTCTCATATGCATGTCCATGAATCTCGTGTGTATGTCTATGACTCTCAGACTCATGAACATTTCCATTAGTCTTATGTGCATGTCCATGAGTTTCATGTGTATTTCCATGATTTTTTTGTGCATGTCCCTGAGTCTCATGTGCATTTCCATGACTCTCATGTGCATGTCCATGAGTTCTACGGCTATTTCCATGAGTCTCCTTTGAATTTTCATTAGTCTCATGCACATTTCCATCAGTTTCATGTGAAATTCCATGAGTTTCATGTGCATTTCCATGAGTGTGATGTACATGTCCATTAGTCTCATGTGCATTTTCATTAGTTTTGTGTGCATTTCCAATAGTCTCATGAGCCTGTCCATGAGTCTCATGTCTATTTCCATGAATCTCAGGTGAATTTCCAAGAGTCTTATGTGCATGTGTCTGAGTCTCGTGTGCATTTCCATGAGTGTGATGTGCATGTCCCTGAGTCTCATGTGCATTTCCATAAGTGTGATGTGCATGTCCCTGAGTTTCGTGTGCGTGTCCCTGAGTCTCCTGTGCTTTTGCATGAGTTTTATGTGCATGTCCATGGGTGTGATGTGAATTTTCATGAGTTTTATGTGCATGTCCTTGAGTCTCGTGTGCACGTCCTTGAGTCTCATGTGCATGTCCCTGAGTATTATGTGCATGTCCTTGAGTCTCGTGTGCACGTCCTTGAGTCTCATGTGCATGTCCCTGAGTATTATGTGCATGTCCTTGAGTCTCATGTGCATGTCCCTGAGTATTATGTGCATGTCCCTGAGTCTCATGTGCATTTCCATGAGTTTTATGTGCATGTCCCTGAGTCTCATGTACATGTCCTTTAGTCTCATGTGCATGTCCCTGAGTCTCGTGTACATGTCCCTGAGTCTCATGTGCATTTCCAAGAGTTTTATGTGCATGTCCCTGAGTCTCGTGTACATGTCCCTGAGTCTCATGTGCATGTCCCTGAGTATCATGTGCATGTCCCTGAGTCTCGTGTACATGTCCCTGAGTCTCATGTGCATGTCCCTGAGTATCATGTGCATGTCCATGGGTGTGATGTGAATTTTCATGAGTTTTATGTGCAAGTCCCTGAGTCTCATGTGCATGTCCCTGAGTTTTATGTGCATGTCCCTGAGTCTCGTGTACATGTCCCTTAGTCTCATGTGCATGTCCCTGAGTCTCATGTGCATTTCCAAGAGTTTTATGTGCATGTCCCTGAGTCTCGTGTACATGTCCCTGAGTCTCGTGTACATGTCCCCGAGTCTCGTGTACATGTCCCTGAGTCTCATGTGCATGTCCCCGAGTCTCGTGTGCATGTCCCTGAGTCTCGTGTGCATGTCCCTGAGTGTCATGTGCATGTCCCCGAGTCTCGTGTGCATGTCCCTGAGTGTCGTGCACATGTCCCTGAGTTTCGTGCACATGCCCCTGAGTCTTGTGTGCATGTCCCCAAGTCTCGTGTGCATTTCCATGAGTTTTATGTGCATGTCCCTGAGTCTTGTGTGCATGTCCCTGAGTGTCGTGCACATGTCCCTGAGTCTTGTGTGCATGTCCCTGAGTGTCGTGCACATGTCCCTGAGTCTTGTGTGCATGTCCCTGAGTGTCGTGTGCATTTCCATGAGTTTTATGTGTGTGTCTGTGAAAACTGTGAGCATCTGAGAAAAAAAAAGTTTTGTTAATAAATTTTTACCTTTACATTTTTCTTATTTTAAGTATTTTTTGTAAACGTATCTAATATGGACTTTACCAGAACACGTTACCACTACATCAAAAACAATAGCACTCCTTTCAGCATGAACACCATTTTTGGGGTGGGGACAGGTATTAAACATTAATTTTTGTTATAATTTCAATATGTGTTTACTGAATTTAGATACCACTTTGTTTGCAAGACTGACACAATAATAGTAATCAGTGTTAGAACCAAACATTTAGATCCACTTGTTCTGTTTTAGTGTTTAGGTAAGATGTATATGCTGATTATTCTTAAAATGTCACTAAATTTTCCCTAAAAACTGTGACCTGTCCTTTCCATGTTGTCGTTCCTATGACCCCCTTTGAGCCCATGCTTAGGTTTGTTTTTTAGGATGTAGGTCATACATCTTAAATACATCTGAGCATTTAGATAATGGTATATTTCACTGAAATGTCCCCTGATATTCCTGATTACTGTATTAAAGATCACAATAAACTCCTACTGCAAAGAGCCTTGTGCTGTCCGTGCTCTGGTGAGGATGTTTTTTAACCATGAATTTCATGTTCATGTCTTTAAGACTTGTGGGAGATTGGAACACTAAAGATTGTTTTGCAGATTTACAGTGGTGTGAAAAACCATTTGCCCCCTTCCTGATTTCTTATTCTTTTGCATGTTTGTCACACAAAATGTTTCTGATCATCAAACACATTTAACCATTAGTCAAAGATAACACAAGTAAACACAAAATGCAGTTTTGTAATGATGGTTTTTATTATTTAGGGAGAGAACAAAATCCAAACCTACATTGCTCTGTGTGAAAAAGTAATTGCCCCCTGAACCTAATAACTGGTTGGGCCTCCCTTAGCAGCAATAACTGCAATCAAGCGTTTGTGATAACTTGCTACAAGTCTTTTACAGCGCTCTGGAGGAATTTTGGCCCACTCATCTTTGCAGAATTGTTGTAATTCAGCTTTATTTGAGGGTTTTCTAGCATGGACCGCCTTTTTAAGGTCATGCCATAGCATCTCAATAGGATTCAGGTCAGGACTTTGACAAGGCCACTCCAAAGTCTTCATTTTGTTGTTCTTCAGCCATTCAGAGGTGGATTTGCTGGTGTGTTTTGGGTCATTGTCCTGCTGCAGCACCCAAGATCGCTTCAGCTTTAGTTGACGGACAGATGGCCGGACATTCTCCTTCAGGATGTTTTGGTAGACAGTAGAATTCATGGTTCCATTTATCACAGCAAGCCTTCCAGTTCCTGAAGCAGCAAAACAACCCCAGACCATCACACTACCACCACCATATTTTACTGTTGGTATGATGTTCTTTGTCTGAAATGCTGGGTTACTTCTACGCCAGATGTAACGGGACGTTTGCCCTTCCAAAAGGTTCAGCTTTTGTCTCATCAGTCCACAAGGTACTTTCCCCAAAAGTCTTGGCAATCGTTGAGATGCTTCTTAGCAAAATTGAGACGAGCCCTAATGTTTTTATTGCTTAACAGTGGTTTGTGTCTTGGAAATCTGCCATGCAGGTCATTTTTGCCCAGTCTCTTTCTTATGGTAGAGTCGTGAACACTGACCTTAATTGAGGCAAGTGAGGCCTGCAGTTCTTTAGAAGTTGTCCCGGGGTCTTTTGTGACCTCTCGGATGAGTTGTCTCTGCGCTCTTGGGGTAATTTTGGTCGGCCGCCCACTCCTGGAAAGGTTCACCACTGTTCCATGTTGTTGCTATTTGTGGATAATGGCTCTCACTGTGGTTCGCTGGAGTCCCAAAGCTTTAGAAATGGCTTTATAACCTTTACCAGACTGATAGATCTGAATTACTTTTGTTCTAATTTGTTCTTGAATTTCTTTGGATCTTGACATGATGTCTAGCTTTTGAGGTGCTTTTGGTCTACTTCTCTGTGTCAGGCAGCTCATATTTAAGTGATTTCTTGACTGAAACAGGTGTGGCAGTAATCAGACTTGGGGGTGGCTACAGAAATTGAACTCAGGTGTGAAACACCACAGTTGGGTTATTTTTTAACAAGGGGGGCAATTACTTTTCACACAGGGCAATGTAGGTTTGGATTTTGTTCTCTCCCTAAATAATAAAAACAATCATTTCAAAACTGCATTTTGTGTTTACTTGTGTTATCTTTGACTAATGGTTACCGTAAATCCTCTAGTACAGGCCCGGGCCTGTATTTGACTCAAGCTCATCAAGCTCCAGGCCATTATTGGAAGGAGGACCAGAATTTGAGGCAGGCCTCTATTTCTATTTGAGCAAAATGAACTAATGGTTCGCTGGAGTTTTTGACAATTAAAATTGCGCCCACATTGTCAAAGTTAAACACATTTCTTTTAACAACGGTAGTTTCTGCTTCAGCCATCTCCCCCCTCCCCCTGCTTCAGCCCTCTCCCCCCTCCCCCTGCGCAGCGGCCGCAAACTCACTGATGCGCCTGCAGCCTCTCGGAGTTCCTGCTGCTCTAAACATTAAAATAATTATTTCATTTTCTGTTCCTCACTTCTGATTACCTTCAATGGTGTCTGTTTGTTGCAACCACCAGGTACAAAAACTAACTTGTTTTTATTTGACTATTTTTCTGTCCTGCCTGTTTATTATCTTCCTGCATCTCCTCTCAATCCTAAAGAAAAACTGCTACCTGGGTTTATATATATTCACCTTATGAGTTACCTTTGAACTGCAGTTCTAAAAGATCTACCGACCGCAAAAGTGCTCCCGGCCGCATCAGTTAGGTGCGTCACCGAGGACAAAGCAGGTGATGCCCCCCGATCCACAGCAGCGAAACGCATCAGGCACAAATAAAAGAATAAAAGACAGAAAACATTGAAGGAAATGAGCCGACATGAACGATCGCGTGTTAAATTAGTTTTTGAGGTGGCCACACCTGATTTGATAATGTTACTGTGGCCCTGCTCAGGACGCAGATGTCTGGAGCGCATCAACGATCAGAGCATTGCATGCGCAAGCTGGTTAAGATTAGGATGGGGTGAGGGGAAGGTTAAATTGCAAGAGGGTAAACGTCACAATTTGGTTAAATGTCCGTTTTACGGCGGGCGTCAGATACCGACACTCTGGCACAGTGCGTTGCCTCCCGACGCGCAGGAGCTTGTCACCTGCTGACAGCAGGCTGCTGTCTTTTCTGCGGACTGCATCTTGCCGGTCATTATCACGTGACAGCGACTAGTCGATGACAGGCATAAAAAGTCACTATAGAGCGGTGAAGTCGACTAGTGACTAGTTCATACAACCCCTGCTACTGCTCCCCAGAGTGTTCTGCAGCATAATCAGCACGTTCTCTTTGAACTTGATATCAAATTTTCGCCTCCTCTTCGTCTCCGCACGGTTAAAGTTACCCTCGCGGTCTATCACTGGCAAATCAAAAGTGAGACGGATGACTCAACCGCCCCCCCTGTGGTACTTGCTTGTTACCACATTCCACCCGGCCACAATAAAAAATCGGCCATTATTCACCTCCGCCGACTCCGACACCGGCCAAAATATGATACCCAGCAGTTAATTAAATACAGGCTAATATTAGAGGATTTACGGTAAATGTGTTTGATGATCAGAAACATTTTGTGCGACAAACATGCAAAAGAATAAGAAATCAGGAAGGGGGCAAATTGCTTTTCACACCACTGTAAATAAAAAAAACTACTTCTTCCTCCAATTTTTAAGTTCCTTGACACAGATTTCTTTCATAAAGTTTAAAATTTCAAAGAAGGCCTCAATTTTGGATTGACCACAACTGAATTTAAACAAACCACTCATATAGAAACTACCTTCTCTTTATTTATGCACATCCTCATGCCCTTTTTACCCCATTCATGTGTCTAAACTTAACCCTCAAACATGTGGGGGAACTGTCTCACTTCGGCTGACTGTGAAAAAAGTCGTGAAGAAAGCAGATGAGGGAGTAAGTTCTTGACATTATGAAAGGTTTTAGCTTTTTCTGATCAGCATTAATTTATATTTCTTCAAAAAGGAGATAATTTAAAGAGCCAACTACAACAGGTAAGATCATACAGTACCTGTGTTCTTGTGCTCAGAAGAAGGCGTGCCATGGCTATAAATCTGGTCTCCATCAAACATGTTGGAAACTGCCACATCACAGAAACAGCTCATTGGTTAAAATTCATAATCTCCAAAACCCTATATTTCCAATGTTCTTGCTTTAAAATTTAAACACTAAACTAACATCTAAATAAACTAAAACCTAATCTGTACCAACATGAGCCAAAACGTGTTTTTTACCGTTTCTTTCTGTTTGCTCATCTTCCCGGTGCTCCGATGAGGCTCTTTCCTGAACCTGACTGTCATGTTCGCGATCCACCAAGATGGGGAAAGCTGTTGTATGATGGTTGTCATTCACATAAAGAGCCAAAACCATCGAACATGGAAAATCCTGAGATCTAATTTAGCAAACTGTATCTGGTATTCTGTCATTTTTTTGCCATCTGTTCAGTCAATATGAGACATTTAGAATATTGAAGTTTCAGTTTAATTTTAAACGAGTTACATCATTTAGGAAACAACATTTCTCGTGCTTCTACACTTTTACTTCTCTCTTGTTCATCTTTAAAGACAAAAACTACCTACAGATCATAAAAGCAGGTTACCTTTCCTGTCGGTGTTTAAATACTCCATTTCAGATGCAGTCGTTGAACTCTGGCCTTCCTGAACACGCTCATCAGACTTGTGGGGGACTGACATCACATTTATCAGCATCTTAACGATCAGAATCTCAAGATCTAATCCACGGTTATTCAGTTCAGGGCCCGGAGAGCTGGTGTCCAGCACGTTTTAGTTTTAACTCTGGCTCAACACACCTGATTTCAATCAGCAGGTGATTAACAGGCTTCTGCAGAGCTTGATGAGCTGCTGCAGAGGGGATTCAACCACTGAACCAAGCGTGTTGGAGCAGAGAAACTACAAAAACCTACTGGATACTGGTCCTCCAGGCCCAGAATTTAATACCCCTGATCTAATCTATTATTTTTATTCCAGGACATCCAGTTTGGGAGATTTATCTACTGGGATATTTCTACCATGTTCACTACTCTACTCAGATACCTGTCCTGTCAGCTGTTCCTTCTCCATGCGCTTCCTCCTCCACTCTGTCCCCCTCATGGCTGGAAGAGCTTGTCACTATATGTCCATGCTTATCATGTTTATATCCTCAAAACAAAACAGAACAAAAATTGATGCTTTTATGCAATTTTTTTATTTAAATGCCATCACACTCTACCTGTTATTTCAGCACGCCTTTCTCCATACTCTGCCATTTCCCTTTTCTCCTCGTGCACAGATGGTTTAACATTGTAATCATGAGTTTCAGATATGTGTTCTACAGACTTGTGGTAATCTGAAAAAATCACAATTTTAACTGAAATAAAGACATTTTTAATTTTGCATACGCCATCTCTACTTCTTTCTGACATCCTCAAGAAGCGTACAGGAATTTAAACTGTCTTCTCAATAGAAGTTCCTTAATGATGGGTTCCTTAGCGGGATGTCTTGAAGGATAGGAGGAAGAGAGTTTAACATTTGAACAGCTATAGCTTCCCACCTGCTCCTCATTCCCTACAGGAAGGAGCTGAAAGCAACACCTATCATGCACCAACACACAAATAGCCTTAATAGCACTGTTTTCTACATGTTCCTGCTCAGAGAGACGCCTGATTCTAACTGCAGATTTATCTCCTAAGCCTTAATCATGTTCTGAAGGTGCTGCTTATCACTAAATTTATTCAAATCTACATTGTTCAAGCAGGTAGACATCTGCAACCAGTAGGATTCCTGCACTGGCGATGCTAACTCACCCTGCTAACGTTAAAACAGGCTAATACATTAGCCTGATGTACCTATTACTTAGCACCAGTACACAAAAGATAAAACCTATTTCATTCCCCTCCCTCCTCTTCCTCACATAGCTTGATATTTACAGACACAAGCTGATTAAGGAGTCTGTGTCACCCCTTAGAGCATGCTGGGAACCAAATTGACAGCTTCCTCTTGTGGATACATAAATCAACGCCCTCAAGGCCCATGTAAATGACCGTGTTCGAGATGAGCCAGTTCTGCGCAGATTAGATCACCGGTGATCGGTGCGCAGTGCATGCCGGTTTGTGTCCAACTTAACGCCGACTTGCTCTGACGTCATGTCTATGTAGGCAACGATAACCTCGTGGGATCAAGGCGGCCGCAGATTTTGGAGCAAGGCGCTGCAGTTGCTCTCCACTGGCTGCAAAACCTAGAGCACATGTGTAAGACACAAGGCCTGCGGAGCATTTTTATGTGGCCCGCGGGATAAATATCAAAAATATATTAAAACTGACCCGCTGGCCGATTTTTCTGCAAACACTACATATCCCATGATGCTTTGCGGTGTTAGCGCAGAGCCGAAGCGCCCCCTCCTTTGTGTTTTTTCTAGCGTCTGCTGCCGATGTCTGCAGCTCTGCTGTCTCGGACAAACTAAACACTCCTCTCACTCAGCGCAGAGTTTACTCCAGCTCCACTGGCTACCGCTAGCTGCGCGCATCAAATTCAAATTGCTAACACTAGCATACAAAGTCCGAGATGGTACGGCTCCCATCTACCTGAATCCTCTTGCGAAGCCTTACGTCTCGGCCCGGCCACTCCGGTCATCACAGGATCGTTGGCTAGCAGTGCCTACACCACGCTCAGGACAATCCAGACTCTTCTCATGCATCGTTCCACAAATGTGGAATGACCTACCAAATACTACCAGAACAGCGGCTTCCTTTTCGACTTTCAAGAAACTCCTGAAGACCCTGCTCTTTAGAAAGCATCTTCTAAACTAGCACCCTCCCTGCATCCGTCCCCCTCTCTACTGTCCACTCCTTGTTCCCTCCTCTCCATGATTCATCATGCTGCCTCACTGCCCCCTACGACTGACTGGAAATTGGTTGTTGTAGTTGTTGTTATTGTTGTTGTTAGCCTCAAGGGCAACATGTCGATTATCACTTGTAAGTCTCTTTGGACTCATAAAAATAAACATACTCAGCTATTTGCCGACGTTGAAGCCCAGAAACTGAGATTTTAACCGCTCAGTAATGTGTTCACGACTGAAAGAGAACGTTTTCCAACTAACTTCCAGACCGAGCTGATATAACTCCAGCGAGCAGTGACACGCTCAAATCAGTATGCCTCTGGCTGCTGTAGTTATTTTTCCTCCCCGACACACAACAACTTGGTCAAGCTGCTCAGATGCTCTCCATGTTCAGCAGCACAAGCCTATGTGAGCACCTGTTGTCATCTAATGTTGTCATTATTATGATGAAGATGAACAAAACAACAGGAGTCTCCTCCTCAGCTCAACACCATGATGCAGGTATCTGGCTGGAACAGGTGAGCATCACAGTAAACCAGTGGAGCAAACTGAGCTTTAAATATGTTGGTTTTATGCTCTTTTTCTGCTCCAAAACATGAAAGTTAACAGGTGAGATATTGCATTTTCATTTAAGATAAAATGATATTTTTATTTTGTTGTTGGCCCGTGAGAAAAGATTTAACAGTAAAACAGGAAGTGGAAAGGCTGCTGATAAATGAAGAGAATAGAAATTCCCTTTATTGTTCCTCAGTGGGGAAAACTAGACGTCACAGCAGCGATGACACGTATTACAGGAGAAAAAAAGGAGAATAAAATATAAGAAAAATTAATAACAAGAAAACATAAATCCTGAATAGATTTTAAAAATGCTGAATATACCACAAGTAATGAATACCACTGATGCCTTTTATTTTAAACGGACTTGCTCGTGTGTAATTTGGTTATTCCACATTCAGTGTTGATGCAAAAATAAGTTTGTTTCCAAATTAAAAGGTTCTAAATTGCATATATGTTGATAAAGAAAATGTGCAAATTTGCCGTCACTTTTTCAAAAAACATTAAGTTTGGCCCTCGACTCCGTCCCAGATTTTCATTTCGGCCCAGTGTGAGTTAGAATTTGACACCCCTGACCTAGGGCATGATTGGAAACGCCTGGCTCTCACCTGATCTAAGATCTGATTGGTTTCCATTCTGATCCATATATCCTGTGGTAGAATGCAAAACGTTAGTTGATCATGTGTCTTTTGTAAATCATGTTATGTTGATCTGTGATTTATTTTCTTTTGTCACATTTCCTATGAGCACACTAAAAACTACAGCTGAAAACCTTTACTTATTATTACAGTCATATCTTCATATGAATGTGTCTACATTATATGATATCCACAAGCATGTGAGGATGTGTTTCAGTTGCTAACAGGCACCAGAATCAAAATTACAAATTAAACAAAAATTAACTCAAACATGATATCGTCATCCATCGTCACCTACACGTAGGAAAATCTGTCCGACTTAAATGGCGGCTTTCAGCCACTCCCCCTGCTGCACCTGTCTGCTCTCGTGTGTTTTTCAGGCGAGGTGCTGCTCATCTCGAACAAGGCCGATGATTAGTTTTGCTGTAGAGGCCTGGGGAGAGACTCCTATAGGGAAATGTTTATTATAAAATATTTATATTAGGGTCAGGTAGTCACAATGACCACATTGTGGAGGGATTTTCAACATTTGGAGTTTAGAAATGGCAATTTATTTTTTTCCTTCCTTCTCTAGCAGCTTTTCCAATTTTACAAATGTCGGTTGTTTGGCAACATCTGCCCATTTTATTTCCACAAGTCCCGCCTGACGACTCTACCTGGCCTTTTCCAAGCACATAGGTACTTCGTTGATCCCTGAACTTGTCTGCAAAATGGTTTTAGGACAGCCTGATGAAAAGGAGAAGTGCAAATACTGTACCCGGAGGTTCCGAAAGTGGAAACGGACCTTTTGTTCCTATAAGCTGTTACTTCTACAGAAAACAGCAGCCCGTCTTCTGTGTTATTTTCGCCTCATGTTCATGTTCAGATGAAGTTGAATATTTGTGGCCGTGATTCAGTCGTCCGTCCCCCGCTCTGTGATGCTCTGATGCATTGTCATTTTTAAAAAAATCACAAAAGGAGGTGAATAAAATCTGCGCTTTTCTCCAGTTTTATTCCATCCTGTTGCTTTCCATTTCTAACCCATCCATTTCACTCACTCTCCAGATCAATCTATGCTACCCGTGGTGTCAAATCTTTGTCTGAATGACAGACTATCTTGTCAGTGAACTGATACATTCATTTAGATTTGACCTTGAGTTTTTTTTTTTTTTTTTTGCCACTAGTTTGCACTCGGAGCTGTCAAGTTTCATAATGAAACTTCATCTGCCACACTGCACTCCGCTAAAGTAAAATACAGAAGTCTACAACTAGATTTCCATGAGATACTGTACCTGTCCCTTCAGATGCTCTCTCTCCTTCCTCCTCTTCCTCCCTGTCCCGCTCACGCTCAGAGGAGCTTGTTGCTTTGTGTCCGTGGCTCTCATGTTCAGACTTGTGGGACACTGAGAAACCACAGTCATAATTAACATAACAAGAGGAGACATCTTGTGGGGTATTTTACCAGCGATTTCCTCAGCTGCCTGAACAATGAGAACTTTCTAATTAGGCAGATTGTGCAGCGGGTTAAGATTACTGATAACGGCTGCTGTCTTCCACTCTTCCGCTGAGACCTTCCTTTCTTTCTTTCTTTCCTTCTGTCTTTCTTTCCTTTTCTCTCGTCTCTTTCTGTCAGATCGCGGATTGCCCCATCAGGGGCCTGAGTCTTGAGCTTGAGAAAAAGCTGTGAGATTCGAAGAGGCTTGAGAAACTCTGGGTGTGAAGGAGATGACACACACTTGCTTTTATGTGAATGTCATGAAACTGTGCTTCTTTATTCCCCTGAGAATATCTAGACTTTTATGTTTTATCATTTCTTTTTTGCCCAAAAAGATAAGTATTTATAGCACCATCTGGCTGCTTTATTTTACAGTAACGTTTCCTCGTTGAAGGACATTTTCATATTGAGATGTAATGTTCCGTCTCACAAAGCAAATCAAAACTCGACATTGTGGCAAACGCACTAATAAAACTGAATTTTAATTGCCTCTTATTTAGGATTCTTATGTTTGTATCCCTCTCTCCTTCAGGGCTTTAGAAGGTTCCCATGATCCTTTGCGTTATGTTTTAAGGCTACAGACAGTGAAAAGAACTGGTTTAGTTTTATATCAAAAGTTCTCATCGATCCACTTTTCCATTTCTTGCCACAAATACAAAACCAAAATCTCCCTCAAAGAGTCGATTACCGTTAATAACCAATCACGTGAAGTGACCGCATCATGCACATCATTGAGGGACTAATAATCTCCGAGCCACCAGAGATTACCAAGCTTCCCGTTTCCATCTGCTTCCCCTTGAGGTGTTTAGTGCAGGCATGTATGTTTGCAGGCACGCTTCTTCTTCTTCAGAGAGGATCTCTGCTAGCATCCTACTCCCCCACGGTGCCTCCCCCCTTCAGGCTATCTCCTGCCCACTCATTCCCCCTCCTCCATCCCACCCACCCTCCCACCTTCCAGCTCCGGTGAGACAGGATGTCGGCAGCTGTTCTCACAGCAACCCCGGACCGTTTCACACAACCTGGCATCGTGCCCTGATTGCATCTCATCAGAGTAACCCCGGCCTACGTCGACTCGTGTCCTCCGCTGGCCCCACTAGACCCGCTTTCTCACACATCTGTCACAGCTGCACACACCAACACATGGTTGCTGACAGAAACCAACTCCACTGATGAAACACATCTCAGTCGTTTGGAAAGCTGCTGCTGCCCAGTGGTGAGCGTAAACGAAGCTGATCTCAGTAACCCTTTGCTGCCTTGGAGGTGGGGTGATTCCTGATATTAATCTCTGTCAGCTCAGCCCAAACAGTCTGACATCAAACGTCAGCAGCTGGAGCGTTGCAGGCTCCTGCTCGCTCTGCACGGACTAAAAGAACCGTGTGTGAGAGTCTGTTGGGCTTTGTAAGGCATGACAGTGATGAAGCTCTTTATCTGCCCCCTCGCTGGCAGGGTGACACCGAGCCTAAACCAACAGACAGTTACCTCAAACAACACAAGATGGTTGTATTTATATTATGACACTTCACACATTAATCCTGCCGATGCAGTAGTTTGTAATCTGCAGTCGTTTTGGCGAGGTTAAGTTGGGCTTTGCCCTGATTCTGTCTTCGTGTCTGTTCTTCGCTCTGATCCCACGGCTGATGTTCCTCAATCCCCTCCATGTCTCAGAATGATGCAAACACAATGCCAGCTGAAGTCAGTCGCTCACTGATTTTTCGATGCTTGTACAACTTTTCTTTCTCTGCAGACCCCTTACTGCCTCTCACACACCCAATATGAATATATCTGACTATCTAATCTAAACAAACCCCTCTGGTATGTGATATGATTCAGATCAGAACGTGTGAGAAGATTTAGACTCTCACCACCTGAAAAAGGCTCATTTCAGAGCTTCCACATCATAAACATCACAATGATTTCATGTAAGGTGACTGTTTTCAGCTGCTGCAGGGCTCCTCTTACCTCCCTCCTCAACATGCATCAGCTTTGAATGTTCTCCAGTTTCTGTTGTGCTTCCATGAACTCTAATGATGGATTCATCTATAGCTGGAAGGTGATGATGAGCAACGACAGATTGATGGGAGTGATCCTCTGGGACTGGGTGAGAAAAATGGGAGTGTTCGGAGATTGTTTCTGAATAACTGAAGTCTTCTGGGGGAGGGTCTGAGGGAGGAGGAAGACGCTGTGGCATCTCAGACGAAGAGCCAGTGGTTAAAACGTGATGCATTTGTGGAACTGAGCTCGATGCATCACTGCTTTCTGCTGGAGGAGCTCTGCTCTCTGTTGCATCAAAGGCATTAGGACAGAAAATGTAAATGCAATGAGGAATGGGCAAGCTAAGACATTAGCATAAGAGATGCTGCCTCAGATTGTTTATCTAAAGAAAGCCTTACTTTTTCCTTTTTTTACCTCCCTTTTCAAATTTACACACACACAAGTGTACACATCCACAACACACACAAGTGCGAACACACAACCAAAGTGTGATTTCTCACTGCTGAGATAGGCTAAACTCTAAAGCCGCTCCACAGCCCTTTCACTGGTGGAAATGCTGTTGAGCTTGCAAACATTGTGCCCATTAAGGGTGTGACTATTGTTGATACGGCTGTAGAGACAAATAACACAGCGTTCGTCATAATGTGTTAATCTGGCTGGTGCTTCTGATGTTTGTGACCACATGAAGTTTGGTGATTGAATGAGCGCCGACAAATAGCAACGAAGCCAATCTCACGCCTTTAGCTCAGCAGTGAATCATTCATTGAATCATGAATACACAACAGAGGAGACAGATGTGATTGCCTAAAAAATTAGGAGTTAAAAAATTACTAAGTTTGCTTAACAGGAAAAAATAAATCAGTTAAGTCATTTTCTCACCAGTTCTTGCTTTTTTCAATTTAGACAAACAGCTGCTGAGATCAGACTAATCCAAACTCAGATACGTGAAACGGTTTACCTAAAAAATAAATTTAGACAGTAAATAAAGTCCAAATTTCTTGCTTCTGCCCCTTGACCTGTAATCCATCTCTTCAACCTTTAAAGAGACAATGTGTAGTTTTTACCATTAATCTCTGGAAACTAACCATCAAAATGTTTTATGAATTAAATGATGCTCAGTTGTTGAAAAATATTGGCAGCTTTTATAAACATATAAGCAAAAAAATCAGATCTAAACTACATGGGAGCGGATCTGAGGGTGTTTCTCAATGTCAAGGCACCTGGCCTCGCAAGGCAATGTCTTGCAAGGCCAGGTGCCTTGCTTACCAGGACACCGTCCTTCCTTGGTCAAAGAAAACAGTTAAGTGGAACAGACTTACATCACGTCATATGACACATGATGTAACATAATATTTTACACATAGAAGTTTCAATATAAACTTTTTAAATTGTGTATGTATTGGGTAAATTAAATATGTAAGCAAGTTAGTACCCGCTAGCCAACGAAGCTGCAACTACTAAGCTAACTACGTTGGATGTAAAAAATATTTTAGATAACAGCCCAGTAGCTACAACTTGAAATTATCCCCAGAAGTAGCTGCCAGCTTCTGATCCGCCATCCTTTTGAAAATGCTGCAGTGTATTCTGGGAAATGTTTGACCAAGGCTAGGCTACACAACACCTCCCATGTTCAGGCTGGCTTTTGCGTGACCTTCGTCACCACCCTCTCCTTATTCTGCTCTTTCTACCTATTCCGCCTTTCCCGGGATCCACTGATTCCCCTCTTTCCCATTCATTTTCTTTCTCCCCTTCCTTACATTTTAATCACACTTTTTAATTTTTCTCATTTGAAATATATTTTTAATCATTTTCTGAATTTTTTTAACATTTACATTTTTTGTTTTTGTGAAGCGCCTCGAGGCGTTATATAAAAGATTGTTTTCTTTCTTTCTTTCCTTGCTCAGCCAGTTAAGTGGCTAACAAAAGAAGAACAGACGCCTCAGTAGAACATGGACATCAGATCATGCCTAGGTGGTTCTTGATGACGTATCTCCTACGCAACCAGGGCGGGACCAAGACATCAAGGCAAGGTTATTTGGCATTGAGAAACCCCCTAAATCTCTGGGCAACACCATGCTTCCTTCTACGGAAGCCCGTGAGGACAAAATGCATTTACTTAGCATTTACAAGCGGTTACAAAACCTTCGCCATTCATAAATGTTGTTTTACACATTGACCTCTTCACTCATTGCCAGTGATGAATGGGTATCTGATTCAATTTTACTGGATGTTGCACTCCCAGGAATCTTTTACCCTAATGAACATTTGTTGGCGAGGTCTTACTCAAACACAAAAATACTGCTTGCATGCAGTGATGTAGGCATATACTGCCTCCTATCGCCAGGGAAAAATACACACCTTCACCTTATTGGTGTTAGAAGGTGGAGCGGCGGTCTCCCTGTCGGATCTATGGATGCAATTGGGTCTATTGCTGACTTCCTCAGCACATACAATGTGTTACCTACTAGCTGTTTTGGGATGCTGGTGTCTGCTAAGTGAAAGTAATGTAATATAAACATGGCTTTCATACACCAATGCAAGTCTTCTAAAATGATGATCAATCTTAAGTTTTCAACTACTCATCATACCTCTGCTTTACGGAAAATGCATGTTATTTTGGGAAGAGCATCCAAGCACATCTCATGGCACTACCAAAAAGTGAATCCTAACACTATTTGGACATCCATTCCACTATGTAAAGTTTTCTAATAATTTTGCTCCTGAAAGGACTTGATTGGATGTAGCAATGCACAACATGTATTTAAACAAGCAACAGTTAAATAGCATCT